AAAAAAAGAAAATCTGAGGCTGGTTAATAAAAACGTTAATGTCAAGCCCTGAATTGCAGAGATGAGACAGTTTGTATTAAATACTTTTAAATGCAACACTTTCTAAAACTCTGTGACATATTTATCAGAGGGGTGTATTATTTTGCTTTCATGCACATTTTTTTTTTTTTTAACAGACACCAGTCAGCTGTTTAGGCAAAAAACAAACAAAAAAAAGCAGATTTTTTTTCTGCAAACTCTACTGTCAGATAGGCGAAGTTAGCACTGACAACATCGAGGTAATAAAAATATGATGGTTAAGATCTGGAAGCAGCTTTTCTTCTTTTCCTCTCTTCTCTCTCTCTATATTGGAGCCACTGGCAGATATGCACCATAATGTGGAGGACTTGCTCGGTCACATCACACAGATTAGCAGACGAATGACGTTTTTACACCGCGGCACGTTTTATGAGAAGCAGGACACTGAAGATGCCGGTGCATAGCCAGAACATTTACGCGCTTTAGTTTTTAGGAGATCGAAAAAAACTGAAATGGAGAAAATACTTGAAATGTAAGACTGGTAGAAATGAAAAAACTAAATAATGAGATTCTTTAGATTTTTTTATAGACCTGTTTTTAAATAAGATACCTGATAAATAAGTTGAAACATTCTTGAGGCTAAACCAGGACGAAAAAACAAAAAAAGCGACAAGTGTTATCAATGAATCCCACTTAATGAAAGCTGAAGTAAAGGTCCTTGTCGTGTGCGCGTCGACAGCCGTGGTGCGCCCGGATTCTCAGCCCGACACCACGCAGCAGAGCCCCGGGAAGCGCCTCTTCCTCTGCTGGATTAGCGGCTGGGGAGTCAGGTTTAACAAGCTGCTGTCATCTGCAACAGAAAACAGACATCTTTGTTCCAATCAGAGATTCATAAAAACCATCAGCTGCTGCTGCAAAGAGGCTGATTAAGCTTAAAGATTAGTAGCATAAAGATCAGACTATAAAGTTAAGATTTTATCTAACTAAATTCATTTTTAATTATAGTTAAAAAAAAAAGCTCAAAATCCACCTGGACATACCAGGAAATGGCCCCTACCATTTACTACTATGGAGTAAATGGTAGGGGTGTAAATAATAATCGTTTTGTATCGATGCATCGATCCAACAGCCGACGATCCGATGCATCGA